TTTTTCTTTCAAAAGTCAAAAGTTTAATTGAAAGATCTTAGTACACCTGTCTGTAGACCCTCCATTGAAGAAAAGGAAAGGTGGTTGGAAGTGTTTAAAACACTAGGTGTAAACATGAATGTTATTTGTGGTATATTATATTGGGGTATACAACAATACAATATGGTATTGTATTGTAAATGGGGCATTATTGCCAGAATGAAATGAAATTTGCATGTGCTGTATGGCCATATTTGAAATTTGATATTTCAAGCAAAGAAATTATTTGATCCTTTATTTTATCTGCAATTAATTGGATCAGCAAACCCGGCAACTGCTGGTTAATTAATAGATTATTAATTATTTATTTGTGATAAAAGACTTTGCCATTGGTACATTGTGCACCACTGAATCATTCACTGTTTGATCAAGTAGTCTAAATGGACCCATGTTTACTTAAGTTTCACTTAAAGTGGTGATTTGTACACATTAATCAGATGCAAAGGCCTGAAGCATTTTGTTTTTAGTTGAACTGTCAGTCTTGGATTTGTTATTGTAATTAGAGAGATTTGTATTTGATTAAATTTTTTTTTCCTCAAGTGTTTTTTTATTGAACATGTTAGAAATGAAACATGCGGTACAATATAAAATTATTATAAATAATAATATTAAGTAAAACATATTTATTTTACTCTTTTTATATAAAAGAAAAGGGAAAGAGAAAATAATAAAAAATGTCAAGGAAAGGTTTTACTCTTCTAAAATAACTGAAGTGTCCATTTTCTTTATGTGGTTTTAAACATGTTGCCTAGCTAGAAAAAACACATCAGTACAACCTCTTAAAGTATATTGTATTATCTTTTATTGAAACATAAGGACTGTGGCGCAATACCAAATATTGAAATTATGGCTTCAGGTTCTATTTAGGTATTTAATGCGTCAGAGAAAATTTTAAAAATTAGCTTCCAGAAATTCTTTAATTTTGAACAAAGCCAGAACGTATGAGAGTGTGGCTGGCTCAATATTACATCGGTCACAATTGGGCTCTACATTTGGTTAAATTTGGCTAGTTTCACCTTATACCAATGTAATCTGTGTACTATAAATTGTATAACTATTTTTATCTGTCCTCTGATGATTCTATCTCCAGTTCCACCTCCTATTTTTTATTGCACTAAGGGTTCCAGATTTGAGGAATTACAGAATGATTTAATTTACAATTATGACAGTTTTAGACCTATTGACGTTGACTGTAAAGGTAGAAATAAGAACTTTAAATCATAAAAAGTCTCATCGCAACTATACTGATAAAACAGAATCTTTTACATTAAGTTTTTCACTTATGAACCGCTCATATAAACTGTCAGAATCCATCCTGCTTTAAAGGGCTGAAGTGTTTGAATTGACTGGCTGATAGATGGACTGTTTGGCTGTTAATTGAATGATTCTTGTTGTTGACGCAGGTAGTGAAGTTTGAGCTCTGTTGTCATGTTATTTTCCCCTCAGTGCAGGGAAATTGCTTACACTAAAGCCGGTGCCTATTTTTGCATTATTGTATGGATCGTTGCTGCTGAATGAACCTAACTCTTGTCCAACTTAATGAAATCAAGGCAAAGCTTGTTCTCATTAGATTTACAGAATATTCTCTCATCTGCTCTTTTAGAGGAGTGTAATAATCACATTAAAGGGAGCAGACTGTATGTTAATGAATCAGCATGCTGTATATTGTAGCCCCCTTTTATGTTTTTGGCTCCGCATCAAAGAGGTCATGTAGATGTTATTGATTTTTAAATATGCCAAGTCAAATTATAATGGATACCAATTTATGGTCACTGTGTTGTGAAGCAGTTCTGTGATTGGCGTTTTGAAATGTGCAGTTAGGCCTGCTTGTTTGTGAGAAATCATAATCATGATTATTTTGCTCTATATTGTAATGACAATTAATTTAAAGGGTTATGGTCAATATGAGTTGTATGTAACGTATATTCAATAGGGTTGCAATCACAGATATTTGTTTTTGTTGTTATAAAACAGCAGGATTGGTAAATGACAGTATATAGAAAGTCCTCAGTTATTACAGTTATGAAGCTACAAATGTCCTTTAGTCAAGATCAGGTGAGTGATTTTGTCTTGTTATTTGGTTGGTAATGAGCTAGGTCGGCAGTAGCTATATAGCAACTTTAAGATCTGATTTACTGTTACACATGCATTTTCAATCTCAACACTTTGTTTTCATTGATTACATAACACATGAGTTTTTGAATAATCACCAAGCGTCACATTTTGACTCATTTTTGCATGTTTGATCATTTAGGCACTAGAGCTGCACGATTCTGGCTAAAATGAGAATCACATTTTTTTTTTTTTTAACTTTAAAATAAACATCACGATTCTGTAGATGTAAAATAAAGCTTAATATGAGATTATTGTGTTTTTCTCAAACATATGAAAAAACAACAATATTAATATTATGCGTAGGTCTACGGGTTTCTATAAATAATTATATTCTACTTATAATAATTCTGATGTTTAATTATGTTTGAGATATAGCCCTATGCTTGCAATCTGTCATTGAGAACATTATTAGACCATTTAATTCAATGGTAAAATCAACATTATATAGGCTAGAGTAGTTATACTGACACTGTAAAAATTTATTTTTATACACAACTTTGTGTTCGCTGTGAAAGAAAAAACTTCGCAATCATAACTTTAAAATGCAATATGATTTTTAAATATGTGCAGGTTTTTGGTTTCATTTTCATGGCTAAGTGCTGTTCATACTTACGCGCTACTCTTAAACAATCACTTTGTGCCACAGACTGAATATTATTTACAAGTTTATTACCTGTTACTCATGTGAGTTCAGCATATGCGGGTTCTGTTCACTAAAGTAGACGCGTGCGCGTCTATCATTAAGTAAGGCGCGCGCCTGCACACAGTCAGCAGCTCATGTCACGTGTGATTTCCCGGCCGCGAATAAATCATTATATGAAGACAAAAATGAAATTTTTTGGGGTGAATTATACCTTACAAATACAGTATGTGACTCTTTTAACTTGATTTGAAGGTTTCCATGTCACTGAACAACGTGTGTGAAACAATGAAATGACACATGAAGCCGCCTTTTCTTCTCTCCTGAACTTGAAAATATGATTGGCAGTATCGTAGAAATGCTGGATTAAGATCGTCAAGGGGGTCGAATCGAGATCGCGATCTTTTTTTTTCGATTAATTGTGCAGCTCTATTAGGCACACATCTTAAACAAAAGACAGGGTATCTGGATGGTCTTGAAGTCTTAAATATCAAAAAATAATTTAGACTATAAAGTCTTAAATCCACTGAAATATTGTTGTAGGTCTTAAATCATTTTAAACAGGTCCTAATTTTCCTGTTCATGTAAAGCTAGACCAGATTGGGCCAATGCCCATCAAATCACAAACAATACATTTCAATAATTAAAAAAAAACATTTATTTATTGACTCTTATTTATGTAGTTTAATCATCTTCCTTATAATAATTTCTTTCTTTTAAGGTTTTAACTTGCAATCTTTAGTGTTTAGCCTTGTGCAAGTCTGAAATTTAAAATTGGTCTTAAAATTGTCTTAAATTAAAGTCTTAAATTAAGTCTTAAATTTGACTTGATTAAACCTGTAGAAATCCTGAAGATGACTCTGAGACTGAGCATGTGCACAGAACAGTTCTTTTTTTGCAACATGAAAAAAATGAATACACATTAATAACTCAAGCTTCCCATGCTGCAAAAGTTACATTACAGGATTTACTGATTTGCATGTATAATTCGGCTTTGTGGAGGAACAAATCCAGACTTCTGTAAAGGGGCATGATATGATGCAATTTTATCTTACTGTTTATTTTTCATAGTTGTTATAGGCCAGAATCAAATTGAAGCTCTCTGTGCAATATCTATTTGGCATTAAATCACTATATACATTTCTAAGAAATGAAAAGAGTATACAAATTCATATGGGCATAAATTTACGATTTAGTTACCAGACAAATTAAGAACCCTCTTCATACACTGCATGTGGTCATTTTCAAGCTTTGGTCTGTTTCTCATTGCACAATTGCTGTTTATAGTGATTTTATGAAGGTTACTTGTCAAATAGAAAATTTAAACATGACAATCTGGGCCGTATGATTTATTTATGCATTTATTACAAGGAATATTAAAGAAATCCTAATTTTGAATCACTTTGCCAGTACTGCATTTTGTGGTGTTAATGCACAAGAAAACATTCGGCTTCTATTTGCATTATAGTGTGAGTTTAAATTTGTCTTTGTTTAAAACTCTTTTATTGTCATATTGCCATAGAGATGGTGCTTTATTTAAAGATGATAATAGACCATAATCGTTAATCATTTACTGTTACTAGTTTCCTGAGTTGTTTTATTTTGTCATTCCAGAACAAAATATGAAATGCTTTGCTGTAATGGGTCTCAATTTATAACCTCCGCTCATGTTGTGCCCTTTGCTTGACAGTATTAAATATACATTGCCACCTCTTGTGTTTTACTGCTTAATTGTGGCATTTTAAATGCTAATTCAGATAGGGAGAGTGTCTTACGCCTTTATGCAATTTACATAGTGATTGTAAGTGGCAGCTTGAGCCTGTGCTGTGAATCTCATCAGCAGTTGCCTCCGGTCAAACCTTTCTATTTAAGCAAAGCGAGTCATTTTCCCCCGCAGACAAAATACTATATATAATTTTGAAAGCCATCTGTTTTGGCAGAGCAATTTTGATTTGCAAAAACGGTAGGCATAAAAAGGAATAATAAAAAAAAAAACGCAGATCATTTTCCTGATATTTAAACCCAGTATACTGCTACAGCTGCAGATGGCAGTGATATTTATCCAAGTGACAGGGAAAAAGAGAGCGTGGGGGCGGGTGGAGAGGATAACGGAGGCGTTTCTTTGGAAGAGCGGGGGTCATGTAGATGCGAGCAGAACAAGACTCTGTCTCTTTAAAAAACAACAACTGCCTAACTGCCTCTAGTGCTGCTTGTCAATGGCATGGAGGCTTGTGCTGGTTGGCCGGCACTCAGAGCCCAGGCGTCTGATTGGACCGCGGCTGTGGTGGACGGGGCCAGTGTGGATGACATGGGAGATGGGTGTCTGCCAGGCAAAAACAGCCTGACACTGATTGTAAAGGGTGGAGAGAGAGCGATAGAAGGAGAGGAGGGGAGAGAAGACAGGCGTGTGGATTTCATGATGCAAGGTTTGGTCTTACATGTACCTGTGTTTTGATGTTATATTTATATATCCGCGTGAGTGTGTGTGTGTGTGTGTGTGTGTCGGCTGGAAGATGAAATGCAAGTAATTCACAATGGGTGTGGTGGCTGAAGTAGGCGTAATTTTCCTTTTTGCCGCGTTTAGTGCGTGTCCTTGCAGCTTGAGCAAGAGTGTGTGTGTTGGCCAAGCAGGAGGCAGGGTGTGGTGCAGCTGTATTATCATCCACCCACCCTTCCCCCCCTCTCCTTGAGACCGTGTGTGCGTGGAAGGACCATGTGGGGGGTGTAATGGCGAGGGAGGGAGAGCGAGAGAAGGTTTGGGAGGGGGGTGAAGTGGAGGAGAAATGAGCGCTGAATGAATGGCATTGTTTGCATGGCCATGCTTGTGTTGCGGCCCTCTCTCTTTCTCATGCAGTCTGGCGCAGGCTCAACGCACGGCATCTGTGCTCTCAGCAGCGTTCTCACCGTGACCCTACAGCAAAAAGTATTTGCATTGTTCCTTGCTAGAACACTGGTGCACTGCTTGGCCATTTTACCGCTTCACCGCTGTGCCTGTTTTATATATCAGGTTTATTCTGCCCCCAGAATGCTTTGTGCCGCAGTATGCGTTTCCACATAGCATTGATTTTTTTTTTTTTTTTTTTCTCTCCTTTTTTTTTTTGGAGGGAAAGAGCAAATATTTGTCTTCGAAAGCCTCGTTATTGCAAGCTCCTTAATCATTAGCTGTGCACAGGAGTGTAGTAGCTTGAGTGTAAATGTTAGCAGGCATCTCGGAGGCGGCTTTCCCCACCCCCATTAATATGGCAGCAAATTGGTCTCAATTATAATTCATGCAAAAGATGTAATGCACACATGCATTGCCAGATTCACATGCATGAGCCTTACAAGTGCTCAGAACGTAGACTGGCGAATCAGCTCTGCACATTTGAATGTTTGATATGTACACGTTTATCTAATTTCACTTCATGTCACTGATGTCTGAATCACCCTTTGTGTGTATATTGAAACATTTATTTAGAAAGACTTATTGTCTTATTGAATTATAATGTCATGTAATGTTTTCATTATTAATTTTGATATGAAATTTAAAATAAGTGCCTGATGTGACGATAAATACGTAGCATTTGGAGAGACACATTTGGTATCATGCATTTCAATCTGTCACATAGGTTTAGCTTTTTTTTGTTGTTGTTGCTGAGATCAGATCATTTTGCTTCCTTGCATTTCAGCTGCTAGTGCATCAACACCTGTCTGTGCTGCAGAGGGGGTGTTGGGTTATAAAATCGTTGAATGTAACATGGCTGTTCAGATGGCCATCAGATGTGCTTTACACAAGTATCATTATTTGGTAATAAGCATGCGCTGGTATGCGATTCTGATGGTATAATAACCTCTGATTTTGGGTTTTCGATAGTGGGATTACTGCTCTAAAATATATTCTTTTTAAATGTCAGGATAAAAAACTAGAACCTTTTTTACCCCTTTGAACACAAAACATCTTATTTTAAGAAACATAAGATATTTTGGAGCGGTAAACATGTCAGACTAAATAATTCAAATCAAGCATTGACTTTTGCTGTCTTCATTAGTTTCAAGAACACTGATTTCAGTACAAAACGGCATCTTGGGTCTCTTTCTGCTGGAGATACTGTCTTACTAACAAAACGTAAAAAAAAATGTACATATTCTGTAGGAATGGTATAGTAGAACATTTTGGCAGTTTTAAAACCTTTTTCAAACTGCGGTAAACCTTAAAACGTTATTGTCCCATGTCTATTTGGTAATCAGTTTTAGGCTTTTGTCTGTTCTTAGATGAACAGTTCTGCACATTTTTCAATGCTATTCTTAGACAAGTGTGATAATGAGATCATTACATGGCAAGCAAAAAATCACACTGCTATCTGATACTTCTGGTTGTGCTTTGAATCTCTTGAGGAGCATCTTTTAGTTCTACTTAAATGAACAGATTTGGTGGTCGTGATTTACTTTTAGGTATTTTGGATATGTAAGGGTTATTGATCATGGGAAGTCCTGATGCATGATGGGAGTCTGATGCAGATCAATTGCATTCTTGTCTTGCATCCTCATGCCTTTCATCCCAGGAGTCTTGTTGTGTTGTACATTTCGGAAATTCATCCCAAGCTGGTTTCGTTTTTTTTTTTGCTTTTTTAATGGAATGTCCTTTATGTACTTATTCTGTGTGCAGCTGTAACTGGCAGACGTTCCTTATTGTCAGATATGTCATCTTTTTAACCCACTGATTTGAAAAAATGTGCAGCTATGAATAAAAATGCCATCACAGCTTTTTTTTTTCCTCCGTCAATTGTGACTGTGAGACACTTTCATTCATACAGTCAGCATTCATAATTTCTAAAATGCGTTGTGAAAAGACATGATTGTCTCTGTCATGTGCCTTATGTGGTCAATTTGGCATTTTAAGCAGGTTTAATACTTATTAAAAAGCTTTTAAGACTACACTCAAATAATATAAAAAAATATTGAGTTTTTTTTTTTAAAGACAGCTTAATTGTTATGTCAAATCCACTATAATTTGTAAAAACAATTACGATTAACTTTATTTGTTTTGGGTCTGCGTGAAGGAATTTTTACATATATAGTTTTTATATTTTTATATATATATATATATATAGTAGAAATAGTCATTTGTGCCAGGCTTTTTCCAGGCTTGTTCTACTCTATATGTACTAAAAATGGATATCTTGACACCTTATTAAACAGGTTTTTAAAGGAAAAGGCACATGCATGTTATTCTGAATGTCCTGGATCTCTAAATAAGGCTGTGCCAAACAAACTTGTACAAGGTAATGGAATATTATGCAACAGAATAATGCAGAACTCCAAATGCTGATATTTTACATTTGGAATACTACTTTAACAGGGGCATGAAATTGAAAATGATGAAAGTGACTTTCACCATGTTTATTCAAACCAGTATATATATATTTTTTTATTGCTTTGTGAAACTTAAGTTTAATAAATGTAGTTTTACAAATAAGTTTAGAAAAATGTATTTGGTGGATTTGGCCATGCTTTGGAAGTATTATATATATATATAACAGTTAAAACAATTTATAACTAGGTATAAAAGATTTGTAGGGGAGTGAAATATAAATATATTTTTATGTAATTTATTATATATGTAAAGTTATATATGTAAAGTACAGTTCTAAACACAATTGAGCAAATATTAAAGTGAAATAAACCGTGCTTTCTGGAGAGAGCAACAGTATGGAACAGAAATTGAATAATTAAATGAAAATAATAATCTTCACCATATGAATAATTTAATAAAATTAATTCGATTATTTATTTTTTTTTTTTATAAACTTCTTTAGAAGGGGTTTAAGTGCTCACACAGTTCCAGGCCCTAAAAACGCATGCAGATGATTAACCCTAATTCTGCAGTGTCTCCACAAATTTTGTGTTTGGCCTATGGTTTCTGGTCATCCATAATCCTAACTCAACATTGCATGTCCTGTGATGTGACTATTGTGGATGCACACATTACGATATTATTGATGCTCAAGCGATATATTATGTAGCCTTACTACCATTTTTATATAGATTCGATAAATTAATAGATGATAATATAAAAATATTTTGACCACATAACTCAGATTTACTCATATGTGATTATATTTCTCTTTATTTTTAGTTACAGGCAAATGTTTTATTAATGTAGAAATATATAAAATAAATCATTATATAGTACAAATGTAATCAACAAAAAGAAAGAAATATTGCTTAATAAATTGCAGAATATAAACATTTGATTTCAAGGTTGGCTTTTACTTTAAACTTTCTCACAGTGCTGTTATTCATATTTTTGTTTACATCCCTTTAATGACATGCTATATTGTATTTGTATAAATTTATGAAATATTTCTGTAAACAATGTATTTTGTGATGCCACAAATACTGGAGACTTAATTTTGACCATACAATATATATTGTCATACTGCATAGTATTATTTCTATTATTATTATTATTATTATTATTATTATTATTTATGATCATAAAAGAAGCTCAGGAATTACTTGAGAGTGAATAAATGTGGAATTTCAGATGTCGATAAACGTGTATGGCTCGTTGCAGGCTTTACTATGCAACTGCTAAATTAAATGGCATGTTTTACTCCCCTAATAAGTCCATATTTGCAGTATTAGACCAGAAGTAGGTACTTTTGAAGGATGTAGACAAAGATAATGTAGCTTCCAGTCTGCTGAATGTAGGTCATTATGAGTCATGTGAAGACTCCCTGCCCCCTTTCCTCATCTTTTTCCCTCCCTCAATCCCTCCATCCCCTTGCTCACACTTTCGTTTGTCAGGTTCGGGGGGTGGGGCTGGACCCTGAGGTTGTTAGGGGCTGTTGTCTTGCCTCATAATGGCAACAATCATAAAATGCATTCCAGGAATTTGTCAGGCCGTTAACATTGAAAATATAAGAGATTTTCTTGGAGGAGGAGGAAGGGGGGGGGGGGTGTAATAGTTCTGTCTCATTTAATATAGATGTTTGTTGATGCAAGTCATTGATAGCATCTGTTTTGTAAAACGAAATCGATAGTCTTGAAATACTGGGTAATATTTAGCTTTGTGTCTTATTATGCTTTAGGGTTTTTACAGAAATGTGTTCTTTAATGCCGCTTAACGATCGGGTAAGTGCTAATGAAGAGAATTAGGAGGCGTTTAGACTCAGTGAACCAATCATATGTATATAGATCATCTGATTTAATGATGCTTGTGGTAAATGTCATCTTGGTTGGAGAAGCTAAGGTTGTTTAAAGGGACAGTTCACCCTTGAAAAGGTAATTTGTCATTTTCTCTTCATTCACTTGTTCCAAACATGGAGTTTTTATTTTGTTGATTGCAAAACAGGATATTTTGAAGAAAGCTGGAAACCTGTAACCATTGACTGCCATAGTAGGAAAAACAATAGCTTCCAGCTTGCTTCAAAATATCTGGTTTTGTGCTCAAAAGTAGAAAGAAACTCGGTTTATAACCAATTGAGGATGAGCAAATACAATTTTGGAGTGAACTGTCTCCATTGCTAGTTTACAAAACTCCTGGTTTACTACTGTGATTTTTAAAATGTTTGCTTGTAGGTGTATGCAAAGGATTCATTTGTGTTTTCTGATGTCACCAGAACTGTACTTAATTGAAAGCTGTTTGAGTTTCCTGTAAATTAAAGAATTTTTGGTGCCCTGCAGGCATTCGACCACCCATCCTCAATGGCCCAATGCACCCTCGTCCTCTGGTGGCGCTGCTGGATGGACGGGACTGTACAGTGGAGATGCCCATCCTGAAGGACGTGGCCACTGTGGCTTTCTGCGATGCCCAGTCCACCCAGGAGATCCATGAGAAGGTATCGTCATAAGGATTTTTCCATGTTCATTACAGTCAGCTTTAATACAGTGAGTTTCATGAGGCTTTCGTGCTGTAGGTCTTAAATGAGGCTGTTGCTGCTCTGCTCTACCACACCATTACACTGTCACGAGATGACCTGGACAAATTCAAAGGCCTCAGGGTCATTGTGAGGATCGGTAGTGGGTTCGACAACGTTGATATTAAAGCAGCAGCAGAGCTTGGTAAGTTTTGTTCTTGCGTTATGAAAGAATCTTGTTGGATTGAATGAGTTTTAGTCAAACTGGATCTGTGTCTTCAACAGGTATTGCAGTGTGTAATGTGCCAGCTGCATCTGTGGAGGAGACGGCAGACACTGCCATGTGTCTAATTCTGAATCTGTACCGCCGCGTCACTTGGATGCATCAGGCACTGCGTGAAGGCACCCGAGCCTCCAGCGTGGAGCAGATCCGGGAAGTAGCCGGAGGCGCAGCACGTATTCGAGGAGAAACGCTGGGCATCATTGGGCTGGGTGAGTCCTGATGTGATTTAATCAGAGGGCACCATGAATCAGTGCTGGAAGGAGAATTAGATCAGTTAAGCAGACAGCTGACAGCACATTTACACTGCATATGTAGAATTACTAGAGTACAAGTTTTAACTTGGTATGATATTGTCATGATAGTATTATCTAAATATTTCACTATATAAAGAGATTTAAGACGCATAACTATTCTTTCTATCCTGATTAAGATTTTAATCTTGTTTTTAGTTTTAACACTGAATTGTTGACATCTGTTTATGCCTTCAGGTTAATTTTAATTAATTGAGCTTAATCCATTTAAAAGGCCAGTTTTTCTAGTTTTATTTCATACTGAGCCAGAAATCTGTTTCACCACTTCCAAGACACCAAAATGTTAGTTTTATTCTTTTTTACATTTCTGGAGTTTTTACAAAGGGTTTGTTTATTTATTGATCAAACCCATATGATTTTAAAAACATGGCAAATAAATTTTAAAACTCTGCTGGTGATAGCCAGTAAAAATGTAAGTAAAAGAAAAACTGGTCATTGTGATTTGCCAAACAATTTCACTGGAATATTTACATGTTTATTTTTAATCCAAATAAAAGCAGCTGATTAGCACATACTATAAAATAAAATAGACGTGTTTGGAAAATCACGAACCGCTTATGCATATTAGATTGACAAATTGAGACCTCTTAATGTATAAGCTGTTCCGTGATTTTATTTTTGAATTTAATTTTTTTTATTTTATTCATCGACTACATGTAGTTGTTTACCAGATGCTCATACCTAAAGCAACTTACAAATGAGTGGGTATTAAGTAGGGATGTAACGGTATTGTAAATACCGTCATACCGCAATATTACATTTTTTCGATATTACCGAAGTCGCATGACTCGGTAAAACTATAGGTCTTCTGAGAAAATTTGCTCAGGCGAATGAAGCGAACGGGAGGTAGCTGAAACTTCATTTCCCATCAGCCCCGGCGTGGCCATAATCCTTTGCGGTCTGTTGTCGCTACAGATCCAGTAATGCGGAAATGGAGTGTGCTGCTAGTAGCGGAGATGAAAAAAAGATGGAAATGATCGAACCTAAAGCGGGTGTTGTCGCCGCGCGCGTGCTAAATAGCGGTGCTGTCGCGCGCGTTCTGATCAGCTGTGTTGTGGCGCGCGTATTGTAAAGCGCCGAGGGGGGGTTGAGCGCGCATACTCAAGAGAGGTGTTATCGCGCGCCTACTGAAGGGCTGGACTGGACGGAGGTTGTGTCGCGTCGCGGGGGCACTTTTGATCGTTTTGGAAGGGCATTTTCTATCCAAGACTAAAAAGGGCATGTGCACTGCACAGGTTGAGCCCTATGTGTGCACGTGCCTGCAAGTTGGGGAATACGACTAATAACAGTCATGGGGACTGCAGAAACACAGCACACTGTTCAGATTGATGCAGACATTGACTTGTACCGCAAAGAGATCTCTATCTCACTCATGGTTTGTCCTCTCAAGTGGGGGAAAGACAATGCACAATGTTACCCCACTGCTGTCAACATGGGCCAAGTCATATCTCTCTTGTCCCAGAATCCTCAGTCCCAAATGAGAGGGTTTTTTTCTGTTGCAGGGGACATTGTAAATACCCAGAGATACCAGCTTTTACCAGATTATAGTTATATGATAATTTTCCTTTAAACCCATCTCTATCTAAGTGAGTGATTAAATGTTAAATGTGATGAGTTTTTAACAATACTAAATTGAAACTTTATTTTTTTACATGGTTTAATAATTTTTTGTTATTAAAATTGAAGTTCCTGTTTCAAAGCTAACAGATAGATGGCTAATTTGTATGTCATTGACACTTTTGGCACTTTTTTGGGAGTATTTTCAAAAGTTTTTTTTTTTCCTGTAAATGATTCAATAAATACCGTACCGTGACATTCATACCGAGGTATTACCGTACCGTGAAATTCTGATACCGTTACATCCCTAGTATTAAGTGATTTCACATGAAGAGGCAACATACACACCCAATTTTTTTCAATGAAGTATATTAAAAACGTAATGCAGTCTTCCCTCTATTAGAGAGTCATTTTTTTTTTCATAGAAAATTCAGGGATTTTGTGAGTAGTAATGTGATTCAAAAATATTTTTTTTCTAATTGCTTATTTTCAGGACGTGTGGGGCAGGCAGTGGCTCTAAGGGCGAAAGCCTTTGGATTTGGAGTGATTTTCTACGACCCGTACCTGCCTGATGGAGTGGAGCGATCACTAGGGCTCCAGCGCATGGCGACACTACAGGACCTGCTTATGCACTCGGACTGTGTCTCGCTACACTGCAGCCTAAATGAACACAACCACCACCTCATCAATGACTTCACCATCAAACAGGTAAGAATGAAGACATTTGAGTTGATTCCAGTATGAATTTTAGTTGTTATGAGTATAACCTGCCTCAATCTTCCTTGTTTAAAGCACTTGTTCTTGGATTTTAGTTACTAATTCACAGTGGATTGAATGGACAATAAGGAGCTTGTCTTTTTTTTTTTTTTTTTGGTAAATTAGTGATTTGCATTATAAGTGCATTGCGCCACCTACTGGGCAGTTTTGCAATTTGTTTAATCAGCTTTTCATTACTCTAAATGAGTAGTGATGCTAAGTAGATCGATTGAGCAAAACAGTTTTTGTTAAATATGGCTGTACATGATTTTTTAGTTTTTTTTCCCCACATGTGATGCGCATCTTTGTGTTACTTATTTTTATTATTGCATAAATTTATAGAATCACATTTAGTAATAAAGTTTGCACTGCGCACTCATGGTTTGTACATTTTTTTTAGGTGTGTTAATCTAGTTAATATTATTCAGAAGGTCATGATTTGCACTCATTAATTACTTTTTATAGCTTTATTTTACATTCTTTGGGCATACAAAACACAGATGTTTCAGTACAGTGCATCAAGCACTAAGAAATGCATTGTGCCCAATTGTCTGTGTTTTGTATCCCCTAAGAATGTAAAATAAAGCTTTACATAGTAATTATTTAATGAGTGCAAATCGTCACCTTCTGAACACATTTTATATAAATACTTTGGATGTAGAACTGTGTGCAAGATAAGAAAATGATGTATAATCTAAAAAAAAAATAAACAACATTAAGTTGTTTATTTTATTACTGTTCACATTATTACTGTGATGTGAACCTTTCATTTATAACAGCATGTGCCTGTTATACCTCATGTTTTCTGCAATAGAAGATGCTATGGAGCAGGTTATGTTTAGAAAAAAATAAAGCTTCTGTTGCCTTGTTTTTTTAAATTGGAAGTAACAAACAATACTGCATTTTTGTGCACATCTGAATAGAGAACCTGTCTTAATTAAAATATAAATCAATGCTTTTCATATAGATGCGTCAAGGCGCCTTCCTTGTGAACACTGCGCGTGGTGGTCTTGTGGATGAGAAAGCTCTGGCTCAGGCTCTGAAAGAGGGCAGAATACGAGGAGCAGCACTGGACGTCCACGAGACAGAGCCCTTCAGGTGAGGGGAAGCACATAGTCTTATTTTTTTCATATGTCTATCATGTTTTATATTAGCTGCTTTTCCACTATCGTGCCAAACCGTTCTAAGAACACTTCGGTACGGTTACGGTTGTTTCTCCACTGAGCCTGGAACGGCGCGGCACGGCACTGTTAGACAACCATGCTGAACTGTGCTGACAGATTCTGTGTGTTGACGTCGCTACTCGGTTGCTAAGCTACCACAGCTGGCTCAGCAGAAGTGTGCTAGTCATCAGACATCCTCAATAAACTACAGTACATTTAATATAAAATAATGATCCATAGAGCAGTCTCTGGCAAAGAAGAGAATAACTCATCACATTCTTACGAAGATATTTTGTTCATTAAAGTTATTATTTTATTGACTTGAATACAGACATACTTCGCCTGCCTGAATGTGAGTTTATTGCATGCAGCGCTGTATTTCACAGCACAAAACTCGCTCTGATCCGGGAGAGACATGTCAGCGACTTGCGCTGCTGACTTTTTTTTCCTGCTGCGCATCGAATAAAGCGAATAAAGTCACGCTTAGCATCGTCGATGTCCAAATTCCACAACAACATCACGATATATATATATCCATGGAACACGAACTTGCAGACTCTTTTAACAACGAGGAAATAATTGCACTTTTTAATTCAAAGCCAGGACAGCTTGTTAATACGGGCGAGACCCCCTGAGAGACGGCGTGTTGTAATGTCGGCCGTCCAAAAGACTTTGCTTGAAAGCTTTACGGAGCGGCACTGTAACTGTCCAAGGTACTGTTGTATGATTTATATTATAGCATATGCACTAATAAACAAGTCAAAAGAATAATTGAATTAAATAAATATGGATTCTTAAATGTCAGTATTGCTTTTACTCAAAAAATATCAATAGCTACGTTTTGACAAATGTTTTATAAAAATAAAATGAGCAATTTTCATCATTTCAGCTATTGGCAATTAAATGGTTCAGTTATACATAAGTTATATGACATTTATGAGGCATGTAACATGTTTCTGTGTTTTTGTTTTTTTGTTCTTGGTGATCTTTAATATAGCTATGCAAATATTTTCTAAAACGTCTAGCAATAATTCGCCTACAGCTTGTTAGTTAATTATGAACACAAATAATTATAATAATAAAAATAAAATGATCAAAATAAAAAGATAATAGAGCAGCATTTTGCTAAATATAATGGTGCTTTATATGCTTTAAATCCTGCTATATATTGTTTCATATTCGTTTTTTATTTCACTTGCTGCATTCGTTATTTAATGTTTGATTAGTAAAACAAATAACAGACATCGCTTAATTGGTTTCATTTTACCATCAAAATGTAGTATATTTTATATCATTATCAAATTTTGATATAAAAACGCAGTGTAATTTAATTAATTGTTAAAAATGTAATAATTTATGTGCTGTGTTTTTATTAGTGAAAGTGCCCGCTCACCTTTGACAAGGCCTGTCCAAAATTATATTTCTGCCACTTTAATGCAAATGCACTATTATTGTTGTCTTATCATTGTTTATTTTTCTGTTATGTTCAGAGATTTTAAATACTATTTATTTCCCCTCCAATTATTTTCAATCATCACGTTACATTTTGGTAATTTTCCCTCCAAATAAAATTTAGCCAGAGCTGTGCAACATATAAATAAATAAGGGTGCACATGTACCTATATTTAGCACCTATTTGATAGAGCAGTATAACAGTGTTTAGTCACATGGTTGCTTTCGCTTTTATGAAAAAGAAAAAATAGTTTCGGCTCTTATTTAACTTTAATTGAACAAAGGGAGCCGTTTACATTGCGTTACCAAGGCAACTACTGATGCGGTTTGTGTAATGTTTTAAAGAGCTTTGTCGCAGCACGACAGTGGAAAATGAAACCTTATCCGTGCTGTCTGGCCCGGTTTGGCACGGAATGGAACAGTTCTGTTTAAAGAACGATTCAGCACGATAGTGGAAAAGCGGCTATTCACACAGTATTGGTCTCAAGACTTCTTGCTACACTATAAAAAATGTTTGGTTCCACACAATTCCTTCATGTTGTCCACATACAAATCGATTAAGGTAACTGAATTGCTTTTAAAAATTTAAGTGGATTGAACATAAAATGATTAAGTTAATTTAACTCATTTTAAGTAAGTATGTTGAACAAGCAGTGAAAGTCATTTTAGGAATGTACTGCAAAATTTATATTGAACAGCGGGTCTCTGACAGGGCCCCATATTTGAGGTTATTTTTTTCTGTTGTGACAATCCAAATTTTCCTCCTTCAACAGTTTCTCTCAGGGCCCACTGAAGGATGCCCCTAATCTTATCTGTACCCCACACACATCCTGGTACAGTGAACAGGCCTCCATTGAGGCCCGAGAGGAGGCAGCGCGGGAGGTGCGCAGAGCCATCACAGGTCAGACATCCCCAGGTGTTCACTATCTGCTTCTGCCTGTTCCCAGGGTCTGCACAGTAGGAATACACACTTATTTACTTATTCACTGTTCATTTTTCACAGAAATCTATAATATTTAAATAATCATTATCTGCCAGTACATGACAGCAGGCTTCGAGTGAGTTAAATGACTTGGGCAAAAGTCCAAAAAACTTTGAAAAGGGCATATTCACTACTATTGTGTAAATTTGAGACTAGACATGACTGAGTAGTTGACATGCAAAAGAACAATGATGGACTACAGGATTATATGTGCGCATGCACTTAATGTGTCTTTGCCAAAGTAACATCACCAATTACTGCTAATGTGTTAATAAAGGGCATTGGTTTATGTTTCGTTCATTGCCTTTTTGTGCAAAAAAGAAATTTATTAATTAATAAAATATATATTAATAATATTAATATTTATTTATTATATTTATATTTTTATCTAATTTTTTATATATATTTATATAAAATTAATTTATAATTTGTTTTGTCTGTAATTGTGTAAAGTAAATGTACCCTAAGACCTGTAGGCAGGCTTACGAGTTTTAGCTTTTTATTTGTAGGAATATTTTTGTTGTCCAGCTGTTATGGAGCATTCAAACTGCATGATTAAAAGCAAAAAGGCAACCATTAAAAATAATCTGAATATGGTCGCAGCTACTCTTGTTTTGGCAGTTTGATCATATATTTTACGTGACTTTTAATGTTGAGTTGTATTAAAATCTTGCTGCACACTCTTAATGTGAAATTCATACAAATACATGGTTAAAATGCCAAAGTTCTCAGTGTTGCATCGTCTGAATAATTTTTTTGTCCATAGCCCATTGTCAGAGCTTACTGATTCCTGAAGATACCTAATGTATGTGATATTGTAACAGGTGGTCACAAAATAAACACCAGCTTATCAAAATACTTTTCTTAAATTTGTTAAAGAGCTTATGGAAACAATACAGCTCCACTGATATTAAAAAATTGGCGAGAATCTGTAAGTTATTTTCTAAATGCCATTCCAGCATTCAGGGCTATATATTAATTTTGATAATATACTCTCAAGTGTTTTTTGTATAAATGTTAGAAAAGGGACTATTTAGGATCTTTAATTCACATAGCCTACATGTCTTTGGGCTGTTGGAGGAAATTGGAATACCCAGAGTAAGGTGACAGAGAGAACATGCAAACTCCACACAGAGTCATCCTGTTTCATATAGAAAGTAGTTGTTTTTTTCCGTAATAAAGAAACATTTGGCGTAATACCATGGTATATTGTTTCCATTTGCTCTAATATTTAAGTAGTTGTTCTTGCTGAAATTTTTTTTTTAATATACCCATGTTTTTGGTGTGACCGCCTTGATGAAAGTCATTTTCTGAAATCTATAAGCTCTGAAATTTGCAGAAATTAAAATTCTTCCACTGTAATTCATCAACAGCATAAATAGCCCACAATTCCCTGACCCTTTCTTTGGTTGATGTACAAGTAATTGATTTCTGATTGGAGGTCTTCATCCTTGACCCCATGCTCTCCTGTGCAGGTCGTATCCCAGACAGTCTGAAGAACTGTGTGAATAAGGAGTATTTGATGGCAGCCTCTCAGTGGCCGTCTATGGAGGCCACCACTGTGCACTCTGAACTCAATGGAGCTGCAGCCTATAGGTGACTATACCTAGACATGACTGCCTTTAGTGTGTCTATAGTTTGGCTGTGTATTTGTAAACAAGACTCCCTTCTTTGTCGTAGGTTTCCTGCAGGGCTGATTGGCGTAGCAGCGGGTGGGCTGCCCGGAGCCGGGGCAGGAGTGGAGGGCATTGTGGCTGGATCTCTACCACTGGCCCACGCCATCGCCCCGGTCTCGCACCCACCTCATACCCCTTCCCCCGGGCAACCCTCCAAGGCTGAGGCAGACAGAGACATCCCTTCCGACCAATAGCATCCCAGCACATTCCATCTTCGCCCTGATCGGTGCCCTTTCAGTGGGACTTACACCCCTGCTTTTGATGTGACCTTGGGTCACCCCAGTCCAACAGAACACGTGTACAACCCAGGAGTGAAACCCTCTACCCCAAACATACCCTCATTTCCACTCGCTGTATTCTCTGTTGTTCACTTTGGCAGAAAGCAATAACTTCTCTCAAGGATTCAATAATTGGGTTGATACACACTATTTCTAAGCTTCGAAATCCCAGTTCCTTTGCTTTGTATCTACTCTGGACTAGTAGGAGTTTGTTTTCCGAGTAGTTTCTTACATTTCTGTTCTATTCTTATCTGTTTTAACAGCGTGGAAATAAACGCATGGACCTTGTTTTCTTTCCTTCATCCCCTGCCCATCCTCCACTTAGCATACATTTGTAAACCTTCTTAACTCGTCCCATCTCAGCAAACGTTTGATGGTCAAAACAGAGTAACAGCTGGCTCACACCGTTAAATTCAACAGCCATCAGTGTTTGTTTCCCAGCTGGTGTTCAATAACGGAGATCAAGGCTAATGGTGATGGCCTGTGGCTGAGAGTAACTCGGCCCACGGGAAGAGCTCAGATGTTTTGCGTTCCTCTCACTCTCTCTTCATGTGGAAGGCATCTTTTAGAAATGCCCATCCTTTTGTCTCTTCGCAGAAAACAAGAGATTGAGCTTCACCTCCAGAGCTGTTGGGGATTTCATCGTGTGCTCCACTTTAGGGTTTACAGCGTCTGCATAACCGTGTCATTGAAATCCCATTGTCCCTCTTTGTGAACAGCTTGATAACGCTGGGAGTCAACTTCATACAGTTTCAAATAAAGCCATATTCGTTTGACAAAGTGTATAGCATAAGATATATCTGCGAGATTTGAGACACCTTTAAACTCCCTACAAACGAAACAAAACAGGAGATGGTCTTATTACAACATTGACCTCCGCTTGACTCGTACTGAGATCCACCATAGCTAAGCTGAAAATATTGGCACCTTTTTTTTATTTTTTATTCTTAGCCATTTGAAGAATATTTGCCTTGTTTTCCATATCTTCTCTTTGTCCTGGATTATATCTTGCTGTACTTCCTCCTTGTGCCTCCTTTTTCCGATTAGGCCTTCTCTTTGTGACGTAGCGAGGCATGTCCACCCTTCATATCTCCGCTCGTGTCTTCAGCTCTCATGAAATCACTGTGTAGCCCATCCGCCCGGCCCTTCCTACTTCCAACAAGGCACTTAAACTCTTAACACGATTTCTTAAACTCACAAACACATTTTCGTACAAACCTGATATATACCTTTTCATCCACCTTCTCTGGGAGGTTTATGGAGGTTGTAGTACTGTTGATGACCAGCAGGTGGCGATGACTTGCTTTCCCCCCCTCAGGTTCACAGATAATTCATCCTCGCTCAGCTGATGCTTGCACAGTAAAAGTTTAGCAGACCTGTCGTGGGCCCTTCCATCCATCGCTCATTGTCTGTCTCACACTTCCAGAAAACTCAGGATGGGCCACACCGAATTAAAAGCTGCTCATACTTAGAGCTTGACATTTGCATGGGCATCGATAATATCAGCCCTCTCCACGTATACACCATTTAGAGCACAGAAGATAAGGTGGAAAGAATGTAAAAGCTAGGTCATTGAAACGCTGGTTGCTTTCCAAAGAAGGTAGGAGAGTGTCTCGATTAGCGTTCTGTCTGAAGAGAAAGGCCTTTCTAGTACCTCAGTAACAGATATTGAATGTAAGCTCAAATCTTTCTCGCTTTGTACAGCTTCTTTTTTTGTTGTTTTTAGCTCATGAGAGGGTGTGTATGAGTCTGCATGTTTGCGAAAGTGTGTGACTGCTTATCCAGAACATCAGTTTTTCATTCACAGATGTTAAAATAAAGCTTTGTTTCTTTTTCTCCATGCATAGGATGTCTATATTGGTTCGTTAGATGTAGTTTGAATCTCAGGCTTTAGCTCTAGATAGTTCTCGATCTGTGATTTTTGTATTTTTCTGTATAAAGGAGCACAGTTTCATGTCTCGGACAAGATGTATGCTAATAAATGAAACAAAAGGGGGTCTGAAGCTGTTTGTAAATGAGTGTGAATGGGGATTCATTGCTGTGTACGAACGGCCCGTTCTAGATAGTTGTCGTATATGTTCCCATAAGGTCATCGCCCTCAATCGTTAGTTCTGATGGATTAATGCATGTTTTCAGGCCCCGCCCCCCTCGCTTTTTCCATCGGCCACACTTTGACGTCGAGTTTTGAGTGACGTGCAGCTTTTCCTTGACTGCAGTGATGCCCTTTATTCGTAACACTTTATAGCTGCTCTGTAAAAAGGTCCCTGTACTACAGCATTTTTGAATTTCTTCTAGCATTATCGTGGTGTTTCTTTGCCGTCATCAAGCTTTGATATGAGAAGTGCACTATGTGTTACAACCAAGAAATGAGACCCTTTTTGATCTAGTTTGTGTCATTCAGTGTTCGACATGTTGTATTGAAACATTTCAAGATGAGTCTCATTCCATTTTTCACCCTCGGCGTCCCGTGGTCTCCTCGCTGCCTTAATGTCGTAGGCTTGGTGATTCTCGTTCTTTCCCCCGGCAAACACGCATGTAAGAGAGAGGAAGCTGTTTTCTTTAGCCGTATGTTGCTCTGATGCTTATTTCCGCAGAACACACATGGCTTTCACTTTGAGGTGTGAAATGCTCGGGCACTATGAAAGACCCTTTCAGAAGCTGCCCATGTGGTAGTCCATGAAGGGAAGCTGAAGAGGACAGATATGGACTGATATGGAGCAGTCAGTTTCTCTCTCAGGGTTCAGATACACAACATATCCTTCAGCCGCCAGCTACACACTTTTCCTCCATCCGAAAGAAAATCACGGTGTAGATCTCCAGAGCTCTCTTACACAGTTCATCTTTTAACAGTGAGTGTCTTTCTCTGTGATGCTTTCCTTACTATCTCTCTCTCTCTCTCTATCTCTCTCTCTCTCTTCTGCTCCTTTTTTTTGCGTATTTGTCGCACTGACACCTAACAACACAAGAATGAATGTTTTAATAGAACTGCGTGTAACGTTGAAGTTGGGAAATGTATTTTTACAACATGTGAACTTTTTATTCCTTTCTCTTACCTTTTTGTTGTGAATTGATTTCCCCCCCTCCATCACCAGACTGCAAAAAAAAAAGTTTTAAAAAATGACAAAAAAAATCCTGTAACTAGGCTCTTAAGCTTTACTTTTGTTTTTGTTTACTTTTTTATTAGAAAACAATCATGTTTGTGATGGTAACCTCTGATGGTAAATTCCACAAGGTATTTTAATAAAATCCTAAAGATTAAACCTTTGGTCGCTCGCTCTTTCATCACATGAATTGAAAAGACGATTTTTAAGGTCTCTGTAACTATATTTGAGATGTTTTGCTTAGACTTGCCAATTTAACTGTTATGCAGGACAAACTCGCATTAAAGAGTCACATTAAAGAATCTACAAATTGTCATGAAGTATCCAAATAAAGACTTATTGTTATTATTATTTTTATGGTTTCTACGAAATATTAACAGCTGTTGTCAACATTGACAATGTTGCTTGAGCCCTAGATCTGCAGCATATTTGAAAGATTTCTGAAGGATTATTTGACTACTCTCAAACTAAAACCGAACTGTTTTCGTTTTGCCATCAGTTTTAAAATTTATTATTGAGCTATTTTTAAAAATGTAATATTTCATAACTAAACTGTTGTTGTTATATTTTTATTTAAATAAGTAAAGCCTTGCAAAGTGGAGGAGACCTTTTTACCAAAAACATTTCAGCCATGGATGGTTAAAGGCTGAAATAAATATTTTGCTCCCCCAATTTAATTCAACAAAAACATTCCACACTACCTGACAAAAGTCTTGTCACCCATCCAAGTTTTAGGAACAACAAATAATAACTTCTAGTTGATCATTTGGTATCAGGAGTGGCTTATATGAAAGGTAAAGGCCTCTAGATAAAGCTTATTTTACCAAAAATAAGCTTTATCTGGCTTTTTTTAGACAAAAGGCTTGTCACTTAACAGAAATTATGTACTGTAAAGAATAAAAAGTCACGGTGCTGTGCGGGTGCCAATAGGTCTTCTGCAGTATTTGTGATGAATGTGATGCAGTTCAATAGATGTTTCATTGGAAAAATCTACCTTCTGACACTTCCAAATGATGAACTAGAAGTCAAGTTATTATGTGTTGCTCTTGCAACTGAGATCGCTGACGACGTTTGTAAGGTAGTGTACATGTTCACTTGATTTATTTGAATTGTTTTCAGTTTGCAATTTTGGCAAACGCTTAACTGAAAGGTGTTGGCGAAATTCTAAATTGTGGCTACTGCTTGCTAAAATATTTTTTTGTTGCCACAATAGTTGTGATAATGTTATGAACTTTTGGCTAAACTTGCATGAACATATACACCAAACCTGGCAGTATTAATTAGATTGTTGGATTTAAAAAATCATTTGCTGCTTTAATTTTTTTGACTTGCAGTAATTGGTTTTGTCCAATCAACTAAGGCAAATCGTATTTGATCCTTAACTCCAACATTGCAATTTAAATAGCCAGGTTTTGTGTAAATGCTCATGCGAGTCTAGCCAAAAGTTCATAAGTTTTCCAGACGTGCTCTTCAGGTGTTAGTGGTTTGTGTTCATACAACATCTTTGGCCTCAGGGGAACAAAACCACACTGGCTGAGGTGATTAAAGGAAGGAAAGTATTTTGCTGTGTATTTTTAGCAGGGTTTTCCCTCTGAATGTGTCCTGATGGTTGTTTATCAGCTCATGTCCGCGGGTGCTGATGTCTTGCCAATCAGGTTAATGAAGTGTTCAGGGTTTTTTTACCCCCTCTACCTCCTGCTAGCTTAAATCGTTACCAAATGTCTGAGAAACTCCCTCTGCTATATATTAAGTCCCGTTGTCTTGGATTTAGAACAGAAAAACTGTTTTGTGTGCATAAATGAATTATGTAGGATGCAGAATGTGGTTTTTGGCGCCTGTTGTTTGTGCCATTTCGGTTGTTTTTGTTGAAAGCTGAGGTTTAGGAGTGAAAGGTTAGCCATAAAGGTTTGGCAGTAAACATTCTTTATGTCTTGTAAATGATGGAAACTCCTGTGTAAATAGGCGAAACGGTGTAAAAAAAATAACTGTGGGTTCTACTATATAGTTGAGTAAAATGGAGTTGTAAGTTTATGCATGTTTTACGGTGTTTGGATAATAAGGTTGCTCCTTTCAGCTGATGTCAAAGTCGAAACAAATGGAGAAAATACTTTACTGCAGTGATTCACTATTATGTCTGAATTCCCGTAAGGATTGTGCAACATTCTTTATGGAGTTGCTGAACTTTTAAAAACATTTACAGAGTTTCCTGAAATGGCGTCATTTCTAAAACTCCCTTATTGTTGAAGTTTTTTTATAGAGTCGTCAAAGACGAGACATCAGATTTTAAATGAAAAATAATAATGTGTAGAAATTACATTAAATGCAGCTTAAAGTCAAATTTTTTAAGTAACATCAGAATAAATACGTCCAAATAACTTGAATATTTAAACATGGGTGAAAATCAAATGACAAAAATAAAGCTACAGAATTTAAAGCAATATTAAACTCTTTAATAGATTCGAAGCAATGCTTGACCTTTTTTCATACCGTTTCCCACAGTGAAGTGGAGAGTGAGAGTTTTGTAATATGAAAAAATGTCCAGTCAAAACTAAAACGCCATCACAGAGAAACAGGTTTGTTGAAGTCACTCTCAAAAATAGTTTTCCAGCTGATAAAACATTGTCAATAAGAGGACTTTAGTTTAGGTCTTTAAGGTGCTTGAGGGCAAAACTGCAGGGAGTTTGTAATAAACATTAAAGACATTGTCAAGGGTAATACATCAAATATTTATTAGCTTACTGGTGTAAAGAGCTCTCCTTTAAGCTACAGTGTGTAACTTTTGATACTTCTGCGGACCCAAACACTTCATATATGCTATTGTTTGATTCAGGATAAGACCCTTAAATGAAAATTATGGACTTGAATTCGTCTTTCGAGCCAAGTTATATTAGACTTTACTTTTTAAAGGATTTTACGATTAGATTTTAAACTTTATACAACTTGGTACATTCTAATGTTCATTCATTCATTTTCTTGTCGGCTTAGGGGTTGCCACAGGGGAAAGAACCGCCAACTTATCCAGCAAGTTTTTACTCAGCGGATGCCCTTCCAGCCGCAACCCATCTCTGGGAAACATTCAAACACACACTCATACACTACGGACAATTTAGCCTACCCGATTCACCTGTACCACATGTCTTTGGACTGTGGGGGAAACTGGAGCACCCGGACGAAACCCACGCGAACACAGGGAGAACATGCAAACTTAACACAGAAACGCCAACTGAGCTGAGGCTCGAACCAGCAACCCAGTGACCTTGCTGTGAGGCGACAGCACTACCTACTGCGCCACTGCTTCGCCCTAATTCTAATGTTCAATATTAGAATATTTTGCAATTTTGCATTTTATTGTGTTATGCATATGTTGGAAGATGGTTGTAGCTGTTTTGTGAATAATTGAATTGTTAGTAAATGATGAAGATCAAGCGGAAACTATTTGCACTACAAATTTTAGACTTTAAATTATTCATTTTTTATGTTTTTAAGTTGAGTGTGTGAAACATGTTTTCCTAATCTGCATAGGTAGTTTGGCCAGAGGAGAAATGGTTGTGTTTCTTTCAAGGTTTTTTTCTTTCACTTTCATCAATTGGTGAAATTTTGTTCCTCGCCACTGGCTTGCTTGGTTTGGGTCTTGTAGGGCTGCGCATCAATGGATTTGCTTTTAAGTGTTTGAAAACTAAACCACACTGAACTGAACTTCTACTTAAAACTGGACTAACAGTTTCATTTTACTAGAACTTCTATGAAAAGCTGCTTTGACACAATCTACATTGTAAAGGAGCTATAGAAATAAACATAAATCAAAGTGTTAAATGTCCTAAAGTTAACCAATTTGGCCTTACAGACAACATCGTTTTCTCACGTATCCGCATTTCATTCAAACTTTCATCACTTTCTTTCTCTTTTGCTGGTTTGTTGCATCAGCCTCATTGATTGAACAAACGCAGCATGTGATCGATATACATGCTACAGCATCCACAAATGTCACGGAGTCTTACATTTCTCCTTAATTGAAGTCGAAAGGTAAGAATAAAATGGCTTTTTTAAAACTGCCTAGTTTTCTGCTCGACGTTTAACATTAGCGCGTGGAAATGAGGCACAGGTTTGGCGCTAAAATTCGGGTCATTTGAGACGTTACAGTTAAAGACAACATGGCTTTTAAAAACAAACGATGTTATTTTTTCATTGGGTTGTCTTCAATCTGCCCGTGTTACTGTTCAAGTCTTCTGCTTTATATTTCTTGAGAAGTCTTCTATTATTGTTGCTTAGGCTTTTATCTGTATGTTTCTTGGGTACAAGTGTGGTCACAGATGTTTGATAAGTGTTAACCCCTTGGTTGCCTATGGCTTACGTGTGACAATAGATTTATGTAATTTTGTAAGCTTAAAACAAACAATAAGACTACCCATTACCCAACACCATAACTGAATGGAAGTTTCAAATTTAAAACTACAATTGTGTTCGTCTGACAAGCATTTATGAATTTTTTTTTAGAATTGCCTACTCCTAATCAATCTGTCAGATTCTGTAGTGCATTTTGTTTAAAATAAGTACTAATAAGTAAAACACATTTACAAATAAATGGTTTGCAAGCAAGAATATCAGACACCAGAAAAATGGAGGCCAGACTTGAATGTAAAGCATGTCATATTTGAGAATTGTGAGAAATAACTCCAAAAGGCAATAAACTTTAAAACGCCATAAAACAAAACCACACTGCCACTCTAGTACTACCATAATGAAGCATTAAACATACAAGTTTCTGAATTAGTTTTTATAAAAACTTTAGGAAATAGAGTAAAAAGAAATGTACTAGTTATATAAAATTATTATTTTATTCTTTTTTACCCCATACATAGATACATACATACGTGTGTGTGTGTGTGTGTGCATATATATATATATATATATATATATATATATATATATATATATATACTTTTTTTTTTTTTAACCTGGAAGTATATGGGGGAAAGGATTTGCCTAACCTTAAATATGAAATCGGGAGTTAAACGGTTAAAAGGATAGTTTACCTATAAATAAAAATTGACCCATAATGTCCTCAAGGTGTCCTCGGTGTTCAGTACAGGACTTTCTTCTGTCAAACAAACACAAGTTAGTCATAAAATTTATTCTGATTCTTCCGTGCAATATAATGG